AAATTTCACATATCTACATTTCTTGTTTGCTAAACAACTATTACAGCTTATATCTAGATGTCCTCCCAAAGCCTCAATTGGTCATTGGGTGGGACTTTTCGGAGGTGGTTGGAAGTAGGATGTGTGATGCTGGGATTAAGGTACGCCACCTGGGTGTGAGTCCTACCCACCCAAAGGACAGGAAGAGGGCTGCTGCCACCGCTTTGCTGCTTTCTGCCTGCTGCTTTGCCATAGTGTGTTTCTTCTCTACAGTGCCCTTCTGGCATGCCACCCTGCCTCTACAAATTGTGGGCAACAATAAACTTTTCCTCCTTTAAATTTGGGTATTAGGCATTTTGTCTCAGCAACAAGAAAAGTAACTAAAGCACCAACAGATTAATTTTTAATTGCAGAAGTCTGAAACAGTGAAAAGGCCAATGTTTTCAGGTAGAATTCAAACATGGGTAGGACTTCATTGCAGAAACCACTTATAATTTAACATTGCTATGCAGTTTCTCAAAGTAAGCAAGCTGTTAGTTGAATGAACTTTTGGCCAAACATTTTGTAGCTCACTCTAGTAAAAAAAATGCACCACTAATGTGGCATTAGTGGGGTTGTTGAGTGAAGAAGAAAAATGAACTCAAAGACAGGGATTTTTTTTTCTTTTTTCTTTTTTTTTCCTGTCTCACTCTGCAGTCCAGCCTGGCTTCAAACTCATAGCAATCCTTGTGCATCAGCCTAAGGAGTGGTGAGTCTCTAGGTTATGTCCCTAGCACTGAAAGACAGTATCATTTCAAAGAAAGATTAAACACATTTTTTAATCTGCTTAACATCCATGTTTCAGAATTTTTTATCAAACAATACACAATCTTGTTAATAGGAAATATGTGGGGCCTGAGAGATAGTTCTGTGGCATAAACGCCTTCCTGGCAAGCACAAGGTCCTGAGTTCAATCTCTGGTATCAAAGGGGGGAAAATAAAAGAAATACTTGAATTTCTTTATACTCTCTGATTTAGAGGGGCTCAGAAAATTAAAAATAACAGCCATTGCAGTACATTGAGCTCCACTGAGACAGCACTGGGGCAAGTGAAAGCCAGACAGGCACTGGGCAACTCTACCTCGCTGAGGAAAACAAGTAAACATGGGCAAAGAGGTCCTAAGAAGCTGAGAGGCAAAATGTCATCCTATGCATTCTTTGTGCTGCCTCTAACGGTCAGCTGATTGTGAAACATTTAATGTGTGCTTGGTTCACAGTGGTGGGTTAGATGCTGAATGTTTAATGACAGGGTTGGTCCTTAATCTTGGCTGCACACACACACACACGCACACACACACCCCACATGATAACTTTAAAGTTCTGGTACCCCAGACATACCCCTGACTACATCAGAAACTCATGTGCCCAGGGAGAGCTCAGTAGTTTTTAATGCTACTTGGGTGATTCTCATGTGCATTTAACTGATAAAAATAATCTCCCTCTAAATAGGAATTGTTCTATTAATGTATAATAGAGTTCTGGAGTATTGCCATTATTGTGCCAGTGAGATAGCTCAGTGGTCTAAAGTGCTTGCTTAGGCAAGCTTAGCCAAATGCAGGGACCACGGTTCCATCCTTGGTACCACATGCCGTGCCAGTCCTGCCCCCAGGATGGGCTGAGACAGCCACAAAGAAAAGAAAGTACTGCCATTATTTCCTTCAATAGACACGTCACCAGATGGTGGTCAAAAAGATCCCCCAAAAGAGACTGGGACTTCAGCATACTCCACAGAGCAGGTCTGTGCATTTTCATCACTGAAAATCATCTCAAAACCTGTCCTTGTAAAACAAGGCAGATTCATTAGGCTGCTATAGGCAAATATATTAGTTAGAAATGGGGAGTTGGGAAAGAACTCCAGCTTTAGCAGTTGGAAGGGTTGACTCTGATGAAGGAGTTTAGACTGGCCTCACAAAAGAACTGGCCCAGCTTTTATGGGTTAGATGAAACAGCCAGGGTCTGCTGAATCATTATTTCAGTTCTGGAGGAATATTTACAGTTTGAGAGGCCATTCAGTTCCAAAGATTTTTGGTGCTGATTTTTGGACTCTCTGTTCTGTTCATGAGGTACTTACTATCACTTGGGGAGATGATGTTTCCCAGGGGTAGTGTCAGGCTCTTTTTTCCTAGAGTCTGGGGTAATTATAGGTTTGAAGAATTCTAGGCATCCTTAGTGATGGAAGAGAGGGTATATCTAGAACTGGACAGTTGTAAAAGGTGGCATCTGGGAGTCTTTGCAAATCCTAAAAATTTAGTTGCTCCTTTATCTCGGTATCCTCAGACTTAAGCGGGGATTAGATAGGCTGGGTAAATTTAGAGTTATCCTTACAATACAGACACTCCTTACAACACACAAACGTGAGCTGGTCTCTGATATAAAGTTTTAAGGTAACTGATGGCTTTGCATCCACACAGCTGTCTGATGGGTCATCACGGCGGCAAGTCATCAGAGTAGTATGGGGATTCCAAATCCAAGGGCAAGCTGCTCCCAGACTGACTTCTGTCCTGTTCCCCTGATTAACCATGAACTTCCTCCTCTGTTTTTCATGCTGAGCATGTACCAAGCCTGCCCCAGTCAGCTCCTGTTGCCATACCACAATGCCCATACAAGTCCGCCCCAACCCAGCCCAATAATTTCTTTGCTGGCCTGCCTTCTTCCCAGGGACCTTCCACAGCCCTCCCGCACCAAGCAATACAGGATGTCTTTACTTTTCTCTGGCTTCTCTTTCCCGCCAGAGGAAGGAAACTTACAGTAACAAAGGAAATGAAAACTTGATGGCAACCAACAGCTAACATCATACTAAATGGATAGAAACTTAAAGCTTTCTTTCACTCTAAAATCAGGAACAGGACAAGGATGTCCACTATCATTGCTCCTTTTCGGTATACTTGTAAAAACACTAGCTAGAGCGATTAGACAAGAGAGAGAAATAAAAGGAGTAAGGATAGGAAAGAAAGAAGTTAAATTATCATTATTTGCAAAGCTTCTGTGATAAAATTAGCATGGCACTGGCAAAAATACAAACCTGAGGATTAATGGCACAGATTAGAAGATGCAGATACAACTACAAACACACTTAACTACCTTAATTTTGACAAAGGGGCCAAACATGTGCACTGGGAATAAAAGATAGTTTCTTAAATACACAGTGCTGGAAAAACTTGTTTTCAGCGTGCCAAAAACTGAAACTAGACCCATGTTTATCACATACACTAAAGTCAAGATGGATCACAGATCTAAATATTAAAACAGAAACAGTAAATCTAATGGAAGAGAAATGCATAGAAATCTTAGGCTGGGCATATAACTCAGTAGCAAAAGTGCCTGCTGGCAAGCACAAGGTCCTGAGTTCACACTGTGCTTGTATTGTTTGATCAATTTTGTATGCCTGTATCTGGTAATCTAACAACTACTTTGAAGATAACAATATGCAGCCGGGGAGATGGTGCAGTAGAATAAGTGCTTCCCTGGCAAGCGCAAGGGCCTGAGTTCAAGCCCCGGTTCTGCAAAAAAAAAAAAAAAAAAAAAAAAAAAAAAAAAAAGGATAATAATATGCGATATAAGAACTATTGTTAATTTCCTCACATCTTGTTTGGATATTCTATATTGTTTTTATTTATTTTTTTCTTTCTTTAAAACAAATGAAAAAGTTGATGGCAGAGATGTCAAGTTTAAGAATCCCCTCTGGAAATAAGGTTGAGGCCAGTCGGGTGTGGTCGTGCACTCGTGTGATCCCAGCACTGGAGAGCCCGAGGCGACATCCCGCCTCGAAAACTAAAATAACCCAGGCTGTAGCAATCTGGGCACGCTTTTCGCGACTGGAGGGCGTCCCACCTAGCGCGGCAGCGCGCATGCGCAATTTGCTCGTCGGTTAGCACCGTTGCCTTCCCACTCCTCATTTAGCAGCTGCCAGCTCCGCGCCTCGCACCTGCTCAGCCACCGGAAGGTCCGTCCCGCCCTCGCCGGCTCTGCCCTCACTCCCCGTCGCTTGACCCGAGTCGTCCAAGATGGAAAGGCCCGAACCAGCGCCTGTGGCTCTCTGGCTGCTCCTCCTGCTTCTTCCCGTGGCCGGGCGGGTGATAACGGCCGTCCCGGAGCCGTCGCTCCCCGGAGCCCCGGAGGTAGGCCAGGGCGGGCCCGACGGACGGGTCCTAAGCGCCACCTTCCGACCGCCGCGGCGACGCCTCCCAACTCTGGGCGGGAGCGGAGGCGAGTCCTGCAGCGAAGTTGTGAGGAGAAGCCCTCGAGGAGACGCGCTCGAGGAGACGGGGCGGCAGGGGAGGGAGGCGCGACCCAACGGCCGCGAGCTGCCCGGCGCCGGCCGCCCTCGCCCACCTGCCACGCAGCGCGCGGCTCGGCGAGAGGAGGGCGCTGCGCGGGGTCGCCCGGCCGGCCTGCCGGGGCGTGTGTCTGGCGAGCGCGAGGGCGCCCGCGTCCAGCTGGCCTCCGCAGGGGTGCGCAATACTGCACCTCCCGACCGAGCCGCCGCGGCCCCTCCCGGGCGCAGCTGCTGCAGGAGCGTCCCTCGGTATCTGAAGCCCGGGAGGCGAGAACCGCCGCGTTAGAATATTGCGAGGCAGATAGTTGTTACCCTTCTTTAAGGGAAAGATTGCCAATTTTAAAACATGAATTTCCCAGAATGGCGAAACTGGGAAGTACACCTTTTCTAACTAATCAATACTTGAATAGGAATATGTATAATAACATTTGGAAAAAAAATTTAGTGGTTAAGGGCTGGCCAGATAGCTCAGCAGATTAAAGCGCCTGGTTCCATACTCTGCTTGCCTTGCTGGCTTCGCCCCCTGGGGCGCACTGAGATGCGCCTGACACTGGGCGTGGTGGCCAGCCCCAGTAATCCTAGCGCTGGTAGCCCCTGTACTAAATACATTTAAAAAAAAAAAAAAATAGTGGTTTAGAGTTACCACATTACTGTCCCTGGATACAAAAATGAGAGTATTTCTTAGTTTTATTTCTGCTTGCACGTTCCAGGGGGCCACAATATTGCAAGCTCTAAGAACCACTTTTATATGAAATATATGCAGACCACAGGTGCATATGATTAAAAATAGGAATGCATTAAACGTGCTCCAGAAACCAGATTAAAAAATGAAATAACTTTAAAGTTAGAAATGTGGACATCGTTTTTTCTCCTTTTCTAATTTTGAAGATTCATCGTTGTCACTTTTGAATCCAAGAGACATTGTTTCTCTGCATACAGTTTGAGGAAAAAATCTTTTAACTATTGCTTTGTGGGCTGGCTGGCTCTTAGTAAATGTACTACTTCAGCTCTTCCTTCTTAGGTCTTCATTCCACTTTCGTAGGTTCAGCTCTAACCTCACTATTTCCTAGGTGTTGATACATATGGAAAGCTAAACTGATTTGATCTAGGCTTTTTTTTTTAATTTTTAAAAAATTTGTAAGAATTTTACAGTGGTTCCCTCTATTAGCTAAAAGCTCTTCAGTAGGACTTTGCACAGTGATTGTTGATGTATCCTCGCCATTACAGTCCCCACTAGCCTGTTGTCACCAGTGAGCACAAAATGAAGCTAAGTGGAGAACTTTCAAAATTTGTGTTTAATCTTAATTAAATTTATGTTGCCACATATTATTAGCGGGCACCATATTGAAAGCTTGCGTTCATGGACAATATTAACATTTATACTTCATTTGCCTTATCACCTATCTGTTCATTTGTCTATCTGTATATCTACCCAGATATTAATTTAAAACTGATTGAAATTTTAAAAAAACCTTCATCTTTCTCTAGTGCTTCAGATTTATTATACTCTAAGAATTTTTTTATGTTAGTTGACAAACTGAAAAAAAAAATTTATTTTTTTTTTTTTGAAATAGGATCTTGCTGTTGTAGTTCATACTGGCCTTGAGGGTTTTTTTTGTTTTGTTTTGTTTTTTAGTCCAGACGACTCAAATTCTCTGCAAGCCTCTTGCTTCAGCCCGGGATTACAGGCATGTACTACCATACCCGATTGTGTTTATTTTATACCATATATTTATCTCACTTTCCTTAGGAAAGTAGTTGTGTTCCAGAGGCAGCCTATGAACAAAGATTTAAAATGAAAAAATGGAAACGAGTAGGGAGAAACTTCTCAGTTTAGTCGCCCACTATCCAAACCTACAACCCTCACTTCCAGCCCCAACGTCCAGTTCAGTCAAAGATTCTCAGAGCAGAAAACATGACTTGGCTCCCAACTTGGTGCCAGGTGGAATTTCTTCTGCAGTGGGTCCATAATGGTCCTTACAGAAGGACGGTAATGAGGAGGAAGAGGCTAGGGATTGGACTCAGAACTGTGTGTGTGCAAGTCATGCACTCTGCCACTCAGAGTCCTGTCCCTGCTCTACACAAAGCATTAGTTAAACTTCCTTCTCTGAAAAATACAATGTGTTTGTTTTGTTAATGACGTTTTATAAATCTAGTACTTTACTAAGCAAGTGACATACATATAAGGGCAGTCAGTTATTAAAAATACAGTGTATGTTAAAAGCTGAAAGGCAGAAGCTGAGGAAGGTTTCTTAGAACATTGTTGGAGGCTTGACTGTTAGAACAATAGTTAATAGAGCTCCTAGTTCAGTGGGAAGAACTTTTGACTGAATTTTAAACACAAAACAAAATATTTCATAGTTGATGGTTTATTAGATGATTTGTTTTAGTGTTCCTTTGGTTCTAATACAAGTTTAAACTAGAGAAAAGTTAATCAAGAGAAACCCAGGCTGATGGTGAGGAAAGACTAGCTGGGAGCCTTATGGGTTCCTAAGGGAGTTAGGAAGTAAGTGCACCAGCTGGGGAGATGGCTCAGGAGAATAAGTGGTTCCCTGGCAAACACAAAGGCCTGAGTTCAATCCCATAAAAAAAAAAAAAAAAAGAAGTAAGTGCGCCAAAGTCAGCTTAAATAGCCTAGCCAGGGTCAATTTAGTATCTTAGTGAGACTGTCTTTCAGAGTAAAACAAAAGCTGGAGCTCATTGTTAAGACCCTAAGACATGAAGAAAAGAAAAGAAAAAAAAAAAAAGGAAGGAAGGAGAAGAAAAGAAAAAGTCAGATTAAATATATGGTGTGATCCTTACGTGGTATGAACCTTTTTCCATAGATTGCCCCTAGATTCTGCCAAACTTGTGAAATCATGTCAATCTTACTCTCATTTTTAAGAAGTTATACAGTCATACAAGGTTGTTTTGAGAAGTGGATCCTTAGATGATTTTATTGTTCTGTGAACATTGTAAAGTACACTCAGAGACAGACATCTATTTCATCAATAGGTGATACATCCTTATGGGACCACTACCATTTGTCTGTTGTTGACTGAAACATTGCTATGTGGTTCATGGTTGTGTATAAATAAAAATATTGGGGATATTCACAATGCCAAGAAACACCTTTTCATCACTGTGATCAAGCAGGTACTTTAGAAAAACAACTTAGAGAAAGAAAGCCTTATTTTGGCTCAGTTTGAGAGGTTTCAATCCACAGTGGCCCAGCTCCAGTGCTTTAGGTCCAGAGCTCTGCAGAAGGCATGGTGGAGGAAAGCTGCTCTGTGGTGGCCAGGAGACAAGGAGCGAGAACCAGAGAGATGTGGGCCCGGGGACCAGATTTAGTCTTCAGGGTCACACACAATGGTCTCCTCTCTGCATTTCGGCCCAGTTTCCTATTGTTGTCATCCCTCAGTAATGCCATCAAAGTATGATTTCTTTTTTTTAAATGTATTTACTACAGGGTCTACAGGGTCTCATTACACAGATCAGACTTGTTGTGACCCTTCCTGTTTTTCAGCCTCCCAAGTGCTGGGATTACAGATGAGCAACACCATGCCCAGTCCCATTCACCATCCTAGTGTGCCCTGGGGGCGGGGGGACAGCACAGCAGACTGGGGATCGAACCCATGGGCCCTGCATCTGTCTAAGCAAAAAAGTATGAACTTATCAGTGTACTACATCACTAATAAAGCTAGAATCACTATGATCCAGTCACTTCAAAAGTGTAAATGCTGGCAACCAATATGAGTTTTTCTCTGGGAGGAGGTGATATTTTAGATTATACTTGTAATACTTGTATATTATTTTTTATGTTTATGAGTCATTTTTCTATTTTCAAAATTAAGAATACAATACTAAGGATAAGGTATATAAGATAGACATTGTTTTATTCTAGGACAACAATGTCTGAAAAATTTGGGAAAGAATATGATTAACAAATGACAGGTTGTAGTTCCTATGGTCAGTAGTGAAGACTTCTTAGAGTACTGCTTTCAATTCTACAGAAAGCATGCCATCAGTAAACTTAATCACATTCATCATAGGGAATTTGATATATCTTGCTGTTTCTTTTTGTTCCATTCCCCTCTCCTCCTCCAACTCCTTTCCCCTCTTTATTACAAAAGCTTTGCTTTTTTTGCAGTACCAGGGATCAAACTCGGGACCTTGTGCTTGCCAGGCAAGCGCTTATGCCACTGAGCTATCTCCCCAGCCCTCTATTTTTTTCTTCTAGTCTCTTTTTTTTTCTTGTTTCTTCTTTCCTCCTCCCCCTCCCTTGTTCCCCTTTGCACTTGAAAATTGTCTTCCCAGTTCTAATATCTATTATACGTCTTGGTCCCTACTTACACTTTCAGTTTCTCACATCAGAGAAACAATGTGGTATTTAAATGTGTGTCTGATTTATTCCACTTAACACTATGGGCTCAAGGTGCATTCATTTAGTTGGAAATGTCAAATGTTTATCCTTTATGGCAGAGTAGTACTCCACTGTAATAAGAAAAAAACCCAACATCTTCTTTATCCATTCACAAGTTAATGGGCATTTGAGCCGTTTCCAAGATTTGGCTATTACAAACTGTGCTGCTATAAACATGGGTGTGTATATATTGCTATGGTATGATGCTTTTAGTTCTTTTAGAAAGATACCAAAAAAGGCAATAGCTGGTTCAAATGGAACCTCTAGTTTTAGTTTTTTGAAAAATCTCCACACTTACTCGCACAATGGTTACACCAGAGTACATTTCCACCAACAGTGGAGGTTTTCTTTTTCCCCACAGCCCTGCCAGTATTTGTTATTGGTTTGACATTTCCAGCTAAATGTTTCTTATCAACAATCTTCCAAAAGATTTAGTGTTT